AATAAGGTTAATTTTTTGTTCCCTTGCCTTCTTCACTTAATCGCATCCACCCCCTACCTCTCTTCAATCAGTGGTTTGTTTTTCCCTTTGAATAGCTATCCTCCTGTCCTCTCTCAGCCTGTGTGTCATAATTTGGACTACCCACAAATTCACTGTACGACCATGCTGCATTTTAAAATCTTTATCACTCGACCACAGATGATCAACTCTCTGAAAAGACAAGGCAGGGACAGAGAAGTCACGATGGGTCACTCCTGGGCTGACTCTGGTATACCTTCTTCCCCAAACGTATGGTGTGTGTTAGGGTGGGTCAGAAGTTATCACGGTAGATTTCATGGCCACCTTTGTTTTCTCTCTTGGTAGGCTTTGTTTTTAATTATGGCTATTTCGAGTTCGGAGATGGGTCTAACCAAAATCTCCATGCCAGGACTGAGGGAAATGGTTTTCATTTCCAAGGAAAGTTTGGAAAGGGCTGGATAATTTTTAAATTCTTAGACTCATGTGTCAAACATAGTGGGAAGCCAGCTGGAGCCTAACAAGTTATTTTAATGAGCTTCCTTTCTTTCTGATGTTCCCCAGGGAATATGTGCCAAGCAGACCCATGTGGCCCAGGGAGTAACATGATCATCTCGGCTCTGTTTAGACACCTGTGCTCTTTCAGCCCTATTGGTAAGGGGAACAGGAGAGAGAGATGAGGGCATGGAAGGCATGCAGACCTAGTGGGAGTGGGTGTGTGCCATGCTGCTTAGGAATTCACTACAAGAAACTCCTCGGCAGGAGCAGAGGCTTGATGCATCCTAGGCCAACAGTGCCTCTACGTGGGGTGTCTGGGAGTCTATGAAACGTGTTTGTGTGTGTTGGGGAGGGAGAAGTGGGGAGGGGAGGGAGGAGAAAATTATATGCATTTTTAGAAGGACTTGCATGCCTAGGAGTTTCCTTTTGAGAAGGAAGAAAAGACTGAAGATCATGAATATAGAGCAGGCTCAGCACCCTGAGAAAATATTCTTCTTCTAAACTTCCACCCACTCCTTTAGAAATAAAAAAGTACATTTGCTGTGTTCACTTTACCTTTCCAGGGATTAGTCTGATGCTTGGCGCTCGCTACCCACTCTGAGCAATCTAGCACATGGGTATTAAGTTCGGTCTATATCGTTTTCACTGGATGCCCTGTTTAGTGATTGTTCAGTCTCCTGTATGTATGAATTTCTTCTTGGATTATAAAGTCCTTGAGGATTTATACTTATAGAAACTAATTCTCTTGTTCTTCCTCACCTCTTTGTTACCAATTCTGGGTACTTCTCAGCAAATGTTTAACATATGACTACACAATACTTCTTCGTAAGATTTTCTGTCCTTTACAAAGTCTTATTTTATGATGTGATTAAGGTTTATTTTTATAAATTAAATCTAAAAAATATTTAAAGTAGTTCCACAGTTTTTAAAGTGAGCATGTTTTTTTTTTTTTTTTTTAAAGATTTTATTTATTTATTTGACAGAGAGAGACACAGTGAGAGAGGGAACACAAGCAGGGGGAGTGGGAGAGGGAGAAGCAGGCTTCCCGCAGAGCAGGGAGCCTGATGTGGGGCTCGATCCCAGGACCCTGGGATCATGACCTGAGCCGAAGGCAGACGCTTAACGACTGAGCCACCCAGGTGCCCCTAAAGTGAGCATGTTTATAATTCTTATATTTAAATTTCTATTTTAAGGGGTGCCTGGGTGGCTCAGTCTCCCTTGGCTCAGGTCAGGATCCTGGCATCCTGGGATCCAGCTCAGTGGGGAGTCTGCTTCTCTCTCTGCCCCTCCCCCTGCTCATGCTGTCTGTCTCTGCCTCTCTCTCTCACTCTTACTCTCACTCTGTGCTCTCTCTCTCTCAAATAAAATCTTTAAAAAAAATTTAAAAATAAATTTCTATTTTAATTGTGTAATGTTTCAAATGTACAGAAATACAAAGACAACAATACAACTCCACTTCCAGAGTTAAAATATTTGCTTCATATCTTTAAAAGTTAAATATACAACTAACCACTCCTCACCCCAAGCCTGCCCCCAACCTCCCTTGAGAAAACCACGCTCCTGAAACCGGTGTACCTACTTTCCTGCATGTTTTTAGATTTCGACTTCATAGTTCAAAAGGTCTTAGTTCTCCTTCCTGAAAGGCTGGTGATTGAGTCTGCAAACAGCTCACACACAGCCTCTGTGGAAGGACGAGACGGATAAGTGCCATTGCAGAGGACCCGGGGCACTTTTGTCGGCTGGGATGCAGGAAGGGAGAGGTAGAGGATTAACCCAGGGGGAAAGGAGTTGTACCTCAAAGAAGAGGACTTAACAACCAGGGCATAGCTAGGGAAGCAGGACTGAGGCCAGGCTGGGCACAATAGAAGGAAGCTAGAAAGGGGTGGAAAGCAGTCCCTGGAGGTGTAGAACTAAAGGGGCATTAGGGGAGGCGGAGAAAGAGAGCTCCTCCCAGGAGCACACACTTTTGCTCCCCTGATCATCAGAAAGGATGTGGCTAGGGGTCTCTGACACCTCCATGAATGCAGTTTGGGGGTTACAGGTGCACCCCTCGGTGGGCCCAACTGCTGAAACCCCAGCATGCCAGACCCATTACCAGCCGCAAGGCCTGGCTACGTGGCTTTTACTTGGAGGAAGTGACCTGCTTTAGTTCCTCTGAAGCATTATATAGATCAGTCAGAGATGACTCAACTTTCCTGTTACAGGCATGCCTCAGAGATATTGTGGGTTCAGTTCTCAGGCCACTACAATAAAGCAAGTCAACTGAAATTTTGGTTTCCAAGTGCATGTAAAAGTTAGGTTTACACTAAACTGCAGTCTATTAAGTGTGCAATAGCATTATTTCTAAAAAAAAAAAAAAAAAGTGTACATACCTTAATGAAAAAATCTTTATTGCTAAAAAATGCTAACCATCACTCTGAGCTTTCAGTAAGTCATAATCACTAATCACAGATCACTGTACCAAACATAATAATAATGAAAAAGTTTGAAATATTGTGAGAATTGGGGCATCTCAGTGGCTCAGTCAGTTAAGCAACTGCCTCTTGGTTTCGGCTCAGGTCATGAGAGCAAGCCCCACTGCAGACTCCGTGCTCAGCTGGGGGGGGGGGGGTCCTGCTTCTCTCCCTCTCCTTCTCCCTCTGCCCCTCCTCCCTGCTCTCTTTCTCTCTCAAATAAATCTTAAAAAAAAAAAAAAAGAAATATTGTGAGAATTACTAAAATGTGACACAGATACAAAGGGAGAAAATGATGCTGGGAAAATGGCGTTAATAGACTTGCTCAAGGCATGGTTGCCACAAACCTTCCATTTGTAAAAAGCACAATAAAGTGAAGTACGATAAAACAAGGTATGCCTCTATTACCCTTCCTCAATTTGGAGTTAAAAGATAAAATAGAAGGTACCCAGTTAAATTTGATTTTCAGATAAACAACAAATGCTTTCTTTTTAGTAAAAGTGTGTCTTAAATATTGTATGGGACATACTTATACTAACAAGTTACTTGTTTATCCTAAAACCAACTGTGAGTGTTTTGTATATTTATCGCTAAATCTAGCAACTCTACCTCAATTGAATTTTGGAAGGGTTTTAGGAGTCTTTGAAAAGGACTGGTTCAAAGAGCTCTCCAGAATAACATTAAGGAACATTAATGAATCTTTATCAAATGCTCAATGGTTTAATTTAGGCTGAAACAAAAAACTTTATTAAATCAGCGGTATGCAAAGGCCATCTTAGTTATTTTTTAATGGTTTTATTGGTATAAGTCACATATTGTAAAATTCACTTTTTTTTCATTTTTAAAAGTGTTTTTTTAATTTTAATTTATTTACCAGAGAGAGACAGAGGTAGAGAAAGAGAGAGATCACGAGCAGGAGGAAGGGTAGAGGGAGTAGATTCCCTGCTGAGTAGGGAGCCCGAGGTGGGACTTGATCCCAGGACTCTGGGACCATGACCCAGTCCAAAGGCAGATGCTTAACCAACTGAGCCACCCAGGTGCCCTGAGGATCACTATTTCTTTTAAAATTTTTAGTTAATATTCACTGTATTTGGCTGCAAATATATCTTTAACTCATAACTCGAGATCAAGAGTCCCATACTCTACCCACTAAGCTAGCCAGGCGCCCTTAATTTTTGAACATTTTCAGTACCTCAAAAAAGGAAACCAGTGCCCATGAACAATCCCTCCCCATACCTGCCCCACCTCCCTGCTGTTCCCCACCCTAGCCCTTGTCAACCGCTTGCTTTTTGTTTCTTTCAATTACCTATTCTGGATCTTCCATTATAAATGGAATCTACAAAATGAGGCTCTTCATTTTGCATGTTGTCAATGCTCACCCACACTGTAGCATGTATCAGTACTTCATTCCTTTATATGGTCTCATAACATTCCTCTGCACATACGTACCACGTTTATCTGATCCATTCATCCACTGATGGACATTTGGGTTGTTTCCACTTTTTGACTATTATGAATAATGCTTCTAGGATAGAACATCGCTGTACAAGTTTTCATGTGAAGGTGTGTTTTCATTTCTTTGGAATTGTTGGCTATATGGTAACTAATATCGTGAGAACTGCCCAATTGTTTCTCAAAACAGCTGCAGCACTGCACATTCTTAGTTTTCTTTTCTTTTTTTAATAAAGAACCTTCAGGGTTTCCTCGGTGTCCCGCAAGAGGGCCTGCCCCAAGGGCTCCTCCTTGGGGCGGGCTTCTGCGGGGCCCCAAACTCGCCCCACCGGTGCCCAGAGCGCTGGAAGTCCAAAACAGCGCACTTTTGGAAACGTAGTCTGGGCTCCTGGCTGGCTCCTCCCCCGCAGCGCTCGCCGGCAGGAGGAAAACCGACGCCTGGCTGAGGGTATGTGGACATTGTAGTTTTCTTCCTAGTCAGTCCTGCAGAGAGTGCATTAGGGAAAACTACAATCCCCAGAACGCTGCCGACTACGGCAACCGAAGAGGCCATTCCGCGAGCAGTGCTCCCGCCCACCCTCCCGTCCGGGCCGCTCTCCAGGGCGTCTGTAAACACACCCCGAGACTGTCATGGAGGGGGAGGAGGACGCGGCGGCGGCGAAAGGAGGCGTTTTGGGCCGCCTCCAGGGTCCGCTCTGTCATTCCTGAACTGGTCCCTCGTCCCCGTGACTGTGGCATCAGGGAAGCGAACTGTTAGGCGAGAGGAAGAGACAGTCAGAACCATATCGCCTTCTTCCCCCGGGGCGGGGGCCGGGCCGGGCCAGGCCGGCTGAGCCGGGGGAGGGCAGGGGGAGGGAGCGCCTGGCCAGGCCGGCCTGTCCGCCGAGATGGATGACAGTAAGGTAAGTCCTGTGGTTTGCACGCGCAGCTGCCGCCGCCGCCGCCTGCTTGTCGCTAAGTGGTAGACCCGCCGCTGAACCTCAGCCTGGTAGCCACGCTAACACCCAGGAAACACCTGCCTTAGACATCCCTGCGCCTCCAGTTATTACCCCATGGTACCCAACCAGGAATTCAGGGATCGGGGGGCTGCGTCTTTCCAGAAAGGGCCCTCTCCTCTGGAGATTTTTCAGTCCCAGGGCAAGCCTGTTAGTCAGCTTTTCCAGGTAGTGCAAACCCTAGTCCTTGACTTGCCTAGCGAAATAAGTGAAGAAAGTACCGTGCTTTTTCTTTTTGCCTTCCCTGCCCCCCTCCCAGACTTTCTCCAGTTTGGAGACCTTAATTAGGGCACCCTGAACCAGCCCTATTCCCCTTGAAGGTTCCCCTTTATTCTCTCAGGCTCTTTTACTCAATGCCCCATTCATATCATCAGTTCACTCCCCCTCTGAGCTATTTTCCTGTGGTTGGTTGGAACACTCTGCTAAGCTCCTGTTGCTATTCGTCCAGAATCTAACCTCCTCTAGAAAGCCTTCTCTAAGAAAAGTAGTGAATTCCTTCTTGTTAATCTATCTTAATATCTTACCACCATCCCCCTTTTGCTGTCCAAATCACTTATTCCTATGATTCTAACAGGCATTGTTCATTATTGGCTAGTTCATATAGGTTACATATAACCTATTTCTGTCTTTATGTCTATCCACCTTAGTGTTGTCTAGTTTTAGTTCATGAAGATAGGGATGGTTAGCTTATTGATGTTTTAGAATGTTTAGGAAATTGAACTTTTTTTTTTTTTTTTTTTTTTAAGGAGTCAGACTTCTTGACTTTGCCAGTTTTTGAAGTAGAAATCACTCCTTCTCTTGCCTTTCAGAGGTCTTACTTTCCACAGTCTCTGGCATACTTCGAGCTAGGATTTTCCTTTGTTTGGGTGCCCTTTCCCCCTCCACCAAACCATTAATACTTTGCTGCTTTCATGTTTTTGTTTCACTCATCCTTAGAGAGAATGAAAAAATTTCTAGCTTCTCTGCGCTGCTTGCTTTATTCTACATTATCTCCTCTTCCTGTTCTTACAGAAGGCTCTGAGCAAAGTGATAGATGAAGGGAAAGCCCAATGCAGTACTTTGGAATTGAGACTCACCTGGAGAAACAGTTTGCTTGTGAAGTAGCAAACCCTAACAGAAAGTGGTGTTTCCAAGACAGAAAGGGGGAGTTCTGAAAGTTTTCCAGAAACATCAGAAAATAATTTTTTCATGAAAGTCTTGCTAGCTTGATTGTTCAGTATTAATTTTGGAAGTAAATCTGAATACTGTATCCATTATCTTTTGCAGAAAATAATGTTATGGTTCTTTAAGGATGTTAAAATAACGTTTTTTTTTTTTTTTTAAGATTTTATTTATTTATTTGACAGAGACAGAGATAGCGAGAGCAGGAACACAAGCAGCGGGAGTGGGAGAGGGAGAAGCAGGCTTCCCCTCGAGGAGGGAGCCCGATGTGGGACTCGATCCCAGGATCCTGGGATCATGACCTGAGCTGAAGGCAGACGCTTAACGACTGAGCCACCCAGGCACCCTAAAATAACATTGTTCTTTAATTTCCGTAATTTGAGGCTCTCACAGTATATTCTATAAAATTTTTATTTTCCTTTTCAGACTTTTGAGACATTTAATAACTTTCTCAAAGTCTTCAGTAGTCTCAAGTCCAAGAAAAATACATAGGATTTGGAGTTATTTTACTTACCTATAAAATCACATAGGAGTTATTTCTAAAACTAGCAAACTGTAGTGGAGGGTATAAAATTGTATTGTTTTCCCTAAGAGAGTGAAGTTAAATCTGGGGGGTAAACTATCCATAACTTACTTCCTGTAGGGTTCACAGGTAAGTAAAATGAACTCAGTTCTCATTCTTTTTTAATACATTTTTTTTTTTAGAAACCAGCGGTTTCTTAAATCTTTAATGATTATGGAAAAGAAAATCCATTCCACATGTCTCTGGATGGATAGTGCCTCTGTGAATACACAACTTTCACTTTGAATGCACGTCGTAGTTGTGGATGAGTAATATTTAAATGCCATGTACAGCAAGATCGGACTGCTCTTCCAGCAGTCAGGCAGTAGGAAGCAGCCCTTAAGTCTTCGGCACCTCCCAGCCCTGCCTTTTTCTGTACCCTAGTTGTTATAGTCCTGCAGAATTAAATTGTCCTCCTAGCATAGACATACATATGTACAAAACACATTTTCTCCTCACATTATGTATATATAGGTGATGGAGTCTCAGGTTCCATTTTCTCCTGTATAAGGGGAGGTGAGACTTGGGGCTTGGAATTACAGTGGTTGTGCATAAAGTATGATGGGAGAGCATAAAAGATGACAAACTGGCTGACAGCAAGGCCAGGGGAATAGGAAGAGGATGAACTGGGTAGGAGCAGCAGTTATAGAGAGACAGTATTTGAATGAGCAGGTCAGGGAAACAGGTGATGATGATAAAGATTCTGTATTCTGAGTTAGGTTTTTAAAATAATCTTTTTAAAGATTTTATTTATTTATTTGACAGAGAGAGTAGGGTGGGTCAGAGGGAAAAGCAGACTCCCCACTGAATGGGGAGCCTGACACAGGGTGGGGCTTGATCCCAGGGCCTGGAGATCATGACCTGAGCCAAAGGTAGATACTTAACTGGCTGGGTGCCCCTTCTGAGTTGTTTTCATCAGTGCTGACCCAGGTGCCCCTTCTGAGTTGTTTTCATCCGTTTTGATGAATGAGTTTGCCAGGAGCTCTCCACATTCTGTCACCTAGCTTTCTGGAGTCAGAGTAGGACAGATTTGAATGGGAGTGCAGCTTTGCCTTTCTACCATCTAGCAATGTGCCTGATACAGCATAGAGTACTCACTAATAGTGATTGGATTAAGTTGGAACAGAGTGGCATTAAGAAGATTGCCCTGACATACCTGGGCTTTATTATAATCAGTGTGCTCCATTGAGCCACCCAGCCAGACTATATATAGACAATGGCACATGGCAAAAATAAAGCAAGAGGTACATGGGCATCCAAAAGTGGGGGCGTGGGAAAGTGCTAAGTAGCAGAGCTCAAACATTGACTGAGTAGATCTCTTCTAGGCCAGTTGGGAAAGAAAAATCTTGGCTGATTAATTAACCTTTCTGAGTTTCCATTTTATCTGTTAAATGGTCAATAACTTTTTCACAGGCTTTGTTGAGAATAGGGATAATGCATTATTATAAAGCATTGAGTACAGAGTCTAACACATAGTAAACACACACAAAAAGTGTTGTTGTTACCCAGGAGTGACTTCTTTGGTCCTTGGCACAGTACAGTTGGTACCTGAGATGCTCATTTTAGTAATTCTTAATTGCGTGTTATTCCTAACATTTGCAGCCATGTTTATACCTACACTACCCTTTGTTCCTAACTGTGCCCCAGATGGGACGGGGCAATGGGATGGGGCATGAAATGAACTTAAGCTGTGTATTTAACTGTCAGATTGTGTGAGAAAGGTAGTCTCCTGAGCCCACCTGCATGTCCACCACCAGGAAGAAGTGCTTATTTTTATGAAAGCTTCTTCCTGACCTGCTTAATTACAAAGAAAATAAAAGTGTGTTATTTTCAGAGGCTTTGATCATAGGCAGAAGGTTCTTATTTTTTTATTTTATGTTTGACTTTTATGTTTATTGAATCAATGACTGATGTAAATTGAGATATCCTAGATCAGATGTGATCCTGCCACAGACTAAGCTGGTAAAAGACTGCCATCCTGTATTGCCTGACAGTTTAGGGCATCAAGATTCAGTTGAGCAACTGACAAGAGAATGGGCCAGGCGCTGGCCACAGTGTGCTAATTTGGACGCTGTTCTCCTTCATAGACTTCATAGACCTCTTGTCTACCTGTATTACACACAATTATCTGAAAATAAGGTTTCTCACACCTTCCTTACCTCTTAGGTAAGAAGATAGGGTCTTCTGTTCCATTCAGTTGTTCTGTGTAGCATTGGTTCTCACAAAAATTTTAACTTGGCCAAAAAATGTCTTTGACATTCCCAGATCTGTCCTTTGGACCCTGAATCCTATTGACCCTTTATCCATCCTTTGCTGTAGTTGGAGCTATCCGCCTTGAGCAGTGCCACAAAACCCAGATATTTTCTGCTTTTCCTATTCTCCTCTTCATTAGTGCTATCCACAAAACCAAAACAGAAGAGTCAGCTCCTCTACTAAACAAATCTCTGACAGATTTAATGTGCCTTCCTTTCCTGTCTAGGTTACATGCATATTTTACCTAGGGTACCTCAAAAGATAGTTTTAACCCTAAGGAGTAATTTCAATAATTCAGAAACCAGTTGAAATCTAAGTTTACATATTCTTATTCAGAATGATTAGCTCTTTTAAGGTTTTCAGAAAAGTTTATTCATTCATTAATTCACTAAATATTTGTTGGACACCTAATATGTACATGCATTATGCTAGACAGATACAAAGGTGAAAAAGTTTATAACTATTCTTGGGAGCTTACATTTCAGTAAAGGGCTAAGCAGACATATAGAACAGTCATTACAATATAGTGAGGTAAAAAAAAGGGCAATAGAGGCAAAGTGCTTTTGGAGCAGTAGGAACTGGTGCCTGTCTAGGCATGTCAGACACGGGTTCACACAGTAGGAGTGAATCTGTGAGGAAGAATAGGAGTCCCCGAGAAAATGGGAAAGAAGGAATATCTTGCACTGAAGCATACTGCACTGGATAATAAGTATTGTGCTATAAGTTAGAGCAGGAGTTGGCAAATTTTCAGTAAAGAGCCATATAGTAATTATTTGCTGGCCATTTTGATCCCTGTTGCAATTACTCAACCCTGCCAGTTTAGCACAAAAGTAACCATAGGTGGAACTTAATGACTGGGTGTGGCTGTGTTCTAATAAAACTTTATTTACCAAAACTGGCAACAGGCTGGGCCAGCAGGGCTATAGGTTAC